TCCCACATGGGAGACCTGTATGGAGTGCCTGGCTCAGCCCTGGCTGTTGTGAATGGGGGAGACAACCATTGGAGGGAAGATCTCTCTTTCTGTTTCTCCCTCTTTGTCACTCAGCCTTTCAAATAGATAAGTAATCTTTAAAAAAATAAAGAGGGAGGGGCTGGCGCTGTGGCATAGCGGGTAAGGCTGCCGCCTGCAGTGCTGGCATTTCATATGGTCACCATTTCAAGTTCCAGATGCTCCACTTCTGATCCAGCTTTCTGGGAAAATAGTAAAGGATGGCCCAGACACTTGGCCCCTGCACCCACATGGGAGACCCGGAAAATCTCCTGGCTCCTGGCTTTGGATCAGCACAGCTCTCTCTGGCTGTTGTGGCCATCTGGGGAGTGAACCAATGGATGGAAGACCCCCCCCCCCCCCGCCTCTGCCTCTCTGTAACTCTGTCTTTCAAATAAATAAAATAAACTTTAAAAAAATAAAGAGGGAAATGTAGATCAACAAGAAGTATTAATGATTTAATTTACTCCCAAGAGTTTGGTATCAAACGATGCCATTTGGATCTATGTACTATTGTTAGGATTTCAATATTGCATTCCAACTTAGATTCACATTTCAGTGCTAATTTTTTTTCTTGTATAAGGTGTAACAATTTTATAGTATATTTTTAATATAACACATTTGCTTTTGATTAAACTGCAACTGTGATTCAGCTTGAGTCTATAGAAGTATTTTTCTTGTGCTTGGCTTATACCACCATGCATTTAATGCAGTGTAGAAAAGCATTAATTAAGCTGTTGGGTAACATCACTCCATGTTGGTTTCAGGTATGACTATGGGAATAGTGAGAGTAAAATAGTTGTGTTCATATCTTTGCAGCAGATGGCTTTTCACTCCTGCCTCATTTCTAGGAGATTCTGCTAAGGCCAACCACATAAAATGACTTGTGTATCTCTCTTCAAACCTCAGAGTGTAATGCCATTTTTGTTAGGCTGTGTACACCTGCTTTCACTAGACTCTAGTCTTGTAAAAGTGTCAATGAATCCTTTCATGAGAATACATTAGCATTGTTTAAAGGGTTGTGTATCACTTTTTTTGACTGATATAACTTGCTTAAAGCAGAACTTAAAAAGGCTAATTGATTGGTCCTCCTTTAGGGTGAAGCAAACACAAACCAACATTAGCAACTTTTGTGAGACGTTGAACATTCACATAACGTGCAAATAGCCTTGTGAAAGTGTGTGTCTGTGTGAACTCAGGACAAGCTGTTTATGTAGACATCTGAGTGTACTTTGAATATTTGTGGAAAATAGAATTGGAGGAGGGGTTTACTTTGGTGCAAAAATTTGAAGTTCATGCAGTTTTTTTTTGCAATACTCATTATTCATGAATTTTCTGAAGGCCCCTTATATGTATGAATTTGAAAAATCTTTGCAACAAATAAACTTGTCCTTTAATTTCATTTTCTACAAACTATTTGAAGTACCCCCACATAAAGAATCCAGAAATGGAAAAACCCAAATTATTTGAGAGATTGGGAAAAGGAGAAGCAGTGATAAGATGGAAGAAAAAAATAAGATAGAAGAACTTAAAATTAAGATGATATAGTGAAAGAGCACAGAATAGACACTAATGTTTCTGAGATAATCAGGTAAAAGATGAAACTCGGAAAGCTGTTGCTAGGAATCAGGTGTGTTTTAAGTGTAAGGAGAAAAGGAAAACTTCTCACTCGTTTAAAATTTGGAAATTGCTGTTACTGTGAGGGGGAGGAGGGCTGGCATGGAGGGTAGTCTTGGGCAAGCTGTGCAGTGATATAAGGAGAGCAGTGGAGGCACTTTTTGTTGAATGAGAGGAATAGTTACAGATGTGATATTTCTTAAGACTCCAAGACTTGCCAAGCTCTCCATTAGCTACGTTAAGGGGGAAATGAGTGAAGGATCTTCAAAAAGTTTACAGAAAGTGCATATTATGAAACATATAGATTGTAGTTTAAAAATTTTATGTATTTATTTGAAAGGCAAAGTTACTGAGACAGAGAGAGAGAGAGAGAAAGAGAAAGAGAGAGATTGAGATCTTCCATCAGCAGCCAGGGTGAAGCCAGGAGCCAGGAGCTTCATCTAGAGCTCCCAAGTAGGTATAGGGGCCCAAGTTCTTAGTTCTCTCTAGGCACTCTTCTGCTGTTTTTCCAGGCGTGTTAGCATGGGGCTGGATTGCAAGTGGAGCAGCTGCCCGCACTTGAACCGGCGCCCATATGGGATGCCATTGTTGTAAGGAAGTGGCTTAGCCTGCTGTACCACAATGCTGTCCCCAGATTTCAGTTTTTTGCACTAAAATGATATTATCTTTTCATTTCATTTTCCATAAACTTTTTAAAGTATCCATGTATGTTAAAGCAACAAGGCACTTACTATTTCCCACTCTCTCCCAATTATTATTATTATTTTACTTATATATTTTATTTAAGCTATACAAGTTTCATATATTTCCTTTATATCATTTTAGGAACATAGTGGCACTTCCCCCCATCCTCCCTCCTACCCAAGCTCCAACTCTTCCTTCCGCCTCAGATTCCCACTCTTAATTTCTATAATGATCTTTTTTTCAGTACACTTAATGATTCTTTAGTTAACCTTGCCCTGAGTAAAAGAGTTCAGCAAATAATATAAAGAGAAACCAAACCAAAACAAAACACTGTTCTTCAACAAAAAAGACAAGGACTATAAACAATAAATCATTGCTTCGCAAGATGTCTATTTCACTCTAATACATTATATTTCAGGTATTCTATTAGCCACTTAGGATCAGGGAGAATATGTGAAATCTGTCTTTTTTGTGACTGTCTTATTTCACTAAATAGAATGGTTTCCAGTTGTGACCACCTTATTACGAAAGGCAGGATTCCTTCCTTTCTTCCTTCCATCCTTCCTTCCTTCCTCTCTCTCTCTCTTTCTTTCTTTCTTTCTTTCTCTCTTTCTTTCTTTCTTTTTCTTTCACAGCTGAGCAGTACTCTAGAGTGTGTATATACCATCATTTCTTTATCCAGTCATCAATTGATACACATCTGGGTTGATTCCATATCTTACCTATTGTGAACTGTGCTGCAATGAACTTGGGGTACAGATAACTCATATACTGTTTTATTTTGGTTTGGGTAAATTCCCTGGAGTGGGATGGCTGGATTGTATGGTAGGTCTGTATTCAGATTTCTGAGTTATCTCCATACTGTCTTCCACAGTGGTTGCACCAGTTTACATTTCCACCAATGGTGTACCAGGGTACCTTTTTCCCCACATCCTGGCCAGCATTTGTCATTTGTTGATTTCTGTATGTGGGCCATTGTGACTGGAATGAGGTGAAGCCTCATTGTGATTTTGATTTGCATTTCCCTGAAGGCTAGTGGTCCTGAGTATTTTCTCAGATGTCTGTTGGCCATTTGAATTTCCTCTCTTGAAAAATGCCTAGGCTGGCGCCACGGCTCACTAGGCTAATCCTCCGCCTTGCGGCGCCAGCACACCAGGTTCTAGTCCCAGTCGGGATGCCGGATTCTGTCCCGGTTGCCCCTCTTCCAGGCCAGCTCTCTGCTGTGGCCAGGGAGTGCAGTGGGGGATGGCCCAAGTGCTTGGGCCCTGTACCCCATGGGAGACCAGGAGAAGTACCTGGCTCCTGCCATTGGATCAGCGCCGTGCACCGGTCATGGCGCACCGGCCGTGGTGGCCATTGGAAGGTGAACCAACGGCAAAGGAAGACCTTTCTCTCTGTCTCTCTCTCTCACTGTTCACTCTACTTGTCAAAAAAAAAAAAAAAAAAAAAAAGCCTGTTCAACTCCTTTGCCCATTTCTTAACTGGATTGTTTGTTTTGTTGTTGTTGAATTTCTTGAGCTCTTTATAGATTCTGGATGTTAATCCATTATCAGTTGCTTAGTTTGCAAATGTTTTCTCCCATTCTATTGGTTACCATTTCACTTTGCTGAGTGTTTCTTTTGCAATGCACAAGTTTCTCAGCTTGATATAATCTCATTTGTCAATTTTGGCTTTGATTACCTGTGCTTCTGGGGTCTTTTCCAAGAAGCCTTTGCCTATGCCAATGTCTTGCAGATTTTTCCCAATGTTCTGTAATGATTTGATGGTGTCAGGTCATAGATTTGGGTCTCTGATCCATTTTGAGTGGATTTTTATGTAAGGTGTAAGGTAGGGGGTCTAGTTTCATACTTCTGCATGTTCTCCCAATTATTATTAACATTTTAGTTGGGCAAAATCTGCTTATTCCAGGCTGATATACAGACATTTAAAGAGTATAGGCAATGCCATGGAGATTTTTCCAATATACTTGTAGTACCATTGTACAAATAGAGGTAGTGTTCAGGTTAAGGAGGGAGGAGATAAGCTGTACCACAAAAGCAAGAAATACAGCTAGAGTTACAAACACAGCCATCCTGAATCATGGTCACCTACATTCTTTCTGGTGGAATCTCAGAGAAATGTCAGGGATACGTTTGGTTCTTTTCTTCAAATTTTTTCTAGGATTTATTTTTTATATATTTGAAAGGCAGAGTTAGAGAGAGAGAGGAGGAGAGACAGAGAGAGTGAGAGATTTTCCATCTGCTGGTTCACTCCCCAAATGGCTGCAACAGTCAGAGCTGCACCAATCTGAAGCCAGGAGCCAGGAGCTTCTTCCGGGTCTCCCACATGGGTGCAAGGACCCAAGCACTTGGACCATCTTCTGCTGCCTTTTTTCCCAGGCACATTAGTAGGGAGCTGGATGGGAAGTGGAGTGGCCAGTTCTCGAACAGGTTCCCATGTGGGATGCTGGAATTACAGGCAGGCAGAGGCTTAACCTGCTATGCCACAGTGGCAGCCCCCGGGTTTACTTCTGCACAACCATCCCTTCCATAGCTAAACTTGTGAATAAAATGAGCTTTTGAAGTACAATTGAAAAATGGATGTCGAAGAAGAGTTACACACCAAATAATAGTTTATGTGAGTTTTTTTTTGATAATAAGTTTGAATTGTCTGATGTGGGAGGTTTGTGTTGTTTAGTCTGTGCTTTAAATCATGACTCCCAATATGGGAATGACCTTAGATTGTTGGTCAGTTGCCTTGAGACTCTCAGATGGAAATGAAGCTCTCATTGCCAAATATTTTTACTGGGTTCAATGACAAATCACCTGAGCGTATCCTTCCTTAACAATTAACTTCAATTTAGAAGACATTTAGAGTCTTTTGGAGGACATTTAATAGCAAGCGAAGTGATTTGTGGAAAGACTGTGAATTTCAGTCTTTCAAATGAAAGATGATAATGGGATCGAAGTCTTTCTGATTTATGATTTGTGTTCCCATTTCTCACACAGTGAAACTTCATATTTTTCAGGGGACTGTGGTGCTTCAGCCCGATAGCTGATACAACTATTACAGGCTTGGGCTGCTTTATGGGCCCTCAGTTAAGACTTTTAAATACATTTAGTATGTAATAGGCAATGATAAAATGACAAAGCCATTGTGAAACTAACTTTAACCAGCAAAGAGTGAGAGTGAGACTAGGGAGCTAAATAGAGGAGGTCTTTCATCATTTCAGATTGGTGTATCATGGAGCAAGTGTGAGAAAAAGAATGCGGTAATGAGCACTCAATTGGAAAAAAAAACCCAGAAATTAAAAATTAAAAAAGTCTAAGCAAAATGTTGTTTTCTTTGAAATGCACCTATTAGTTAGTTCAATGCCAAGCATTTGTAATTGCCTTTCAGCCACAGTGGGCAGGGTTTTCATTTGTCACAGCCAAGAGGAAACCACGGCAGTGCTTCCTAAAGCCACGGTTTGGTTCAAGGATAAGCCTCTGTGTCCCTGAACGCTGAATCTCAGAAGGGGTGGGGGCTTTGGGGATGATCGGAGATTTCAATCACTACAAGAAATTCCTTGTCAGCCACAGGTTTCCCTAAAGCAGGGTGGTTTTCCCAGGCGCATTAGTAACGTAAAGCAAGGGGAAGACACCACCAGGTTGAGCCATCCATTCAGAAGTCAAAATGTTTGTGCACCCCAGACAGTGTGTCTGGCTACCCCTCGAGAGTGAGTCCATGTTTGGACTGGGAAAACAGTTCCATGTCCCACCCCCACTCCCCACCTGGGGAAGGCCTATGGGTCAATAACAATGAGCAGGCCCCAACAGCCAGGAAGGGCCTCCTTTCTCAGTAACCGTCTCCTGAGGCTGAGTGGGAGTGTTTTTCAGCATTCAGCTTTGAGATAGAGCAGCTTAAACAGCTGTTCCTGTCACAGGGTAGCACATCAGTCTGTGGGCCCAGCACATTACTGTGCATTTACCTTCCAGGGGAAAGAGGCCACCCACTTGGTGTTATTGCTGTGGCTGTACTCCAGTTGTCTTTTAATCTCCCTCCTTGGGGTATCTATAGGGGACTCTCCACCAGCACTGGGAGCTTGGTGCATTCCAGAGGGTGGCCCAAACATTTCCACATTCCAACCAAAGATTCTTTGACATAAACATCCAAGCGGGCAGTGTGTCGTGTTAGTGGAGAGGCACCAATTATGTAAAAGCCTGTGCTGGTCAGCATGTGTGTAATTATTTATTTCAGCTTTCTGTAAAAGGAGGGGCATTCTATTGTAGCCCGGCAGACATTTGGCAGTTCCCCAGTTGTGAAATTCTATTGACAAAGGTGTTAAATGAAGGGCAGGGAGACAGGGTATGTTAGGCCCCTGCGCCTTCATCTCTGTGACCTGGGCATGTGTCAAGCCCAGACTGAACTGACCAGAATGACTTTGATTTGATGACCATTAAAGGTCAGGCCCATAATGGGATCAGATGTGTCAGTGGAGGGTGAAGTACATAGCATAATAGATTGATGGTAATTAAGTAGTCGTGTTTAATAAGAGTCATCAGAGGTAGAGGCATTGTTGGAATGAGCAGCTTGGGAAAGGAATAAGAAGGCATGAAGAAAGGAGGTGGGAAATACGTTAAGAAATATATTTTTTGTTATACTGAAGGAAAGACCAGAGGAAGTGTGTGTGCGTGCGTGTGTGTGTGTGTGTGTGTGTGTGTCTTAGAAGTTCCCACATTTTTTATGGCTAAAAATGGGTGGCTTTTTGTTGTTGCTGTTGTTTGTTTTTTCGACTTTTTTTTTAATTTGAGTGGCAGAGACAATAGGGGAGTTGGGGGTGGGGGGAAGAGAGAGAGAGAGTTCTCACCTGCTGATTCATTCCCCAAATACCTGCAGTGGCCCTTGACTAAGGCCAAAGCCAGGAGCCAGGAATTCAATCCAGGTCTCCTGTGGGGGTGGCAGGGACCCAATTACTTTGGCTGTTTCCTGCTGCTCCCAGGGTCTATCAGGAGGAAGCCCAAATAGTGGGCAGAAGCAAGTACAGAACCTAAGCACTCTGATATGGAAGCTGGATGTCCCAACAGATGTGTTAACCACTAGGTTAAAATACTTGCTCCTTGATAAATTTTTAAAAAAGATTGATTTACTTATTTGAAAGGCAGGGTGACACAGAGAGGGAGACACAGAGAAATACATCTTCTGTCTACTGGTTCACTCCCCAAACAGCCACAATGGCCTTGGCTGGTCTAGGCTGAAGCTAGGAGCATGGAACTCTATCTTAGCCTCTCACATGGGTGTTAGGGGCCTGAGCACTTGGGCCATCATCTGCTTCTTTTCCAGGTGCATTAGCAGGAAGCTAGATTAGAAGTGGAGCATCTAGGACTTGAACTGGCTCTCTGATATGGGATGCTGGCATTGCAAGCCACGGCTTAACCTGTTGTACCAGAACACCAGCCCCTCTAGATTTTTTTTTTTAAATGGGGCAAGTAGGATGAGTAGAGGAGAATTAAATTCTTTTCTTTTCTTTTTTTTTTTGACAGGCAGAGTGGACAGTGAGAGAGAGAGACAGAGAGAAAGGTCTTCCTTTGCCGTTGGTTCACCCTCCAATGGCCGCCGCGGCCAGCGCACTGCGGCTGGCGCATCGTGCTGATCCGATGGCAGGAGCCAGGTACTTCTCCTGGTCTCCCATGGGGTGCAGGGCCCAAGCACTTGGGCCATCCTCCACTGCACTCCCTGGCCACAGCAGAGAGCTGGCCTGGAAGAGGGGCAACCGGGACAGAATCCGGCGCCCCTACCGGGACTAGAACCCAGTGTGCCGGCGCCGCAAGAGGGAGGATTAGCCTAGTGAGCCACGGCGCCGGCCAGAGAATTAAATTCTTTTTTTAAGGTTTATTTATTTATTTGAGAGGCAGAGTTACAGAGAGAAACATGAAGAGAGAGGTCTTTCATCTGCTGGTTCACTCCCAAACACCTACAATGGCCGAAGCTGGGCCAATACGAAACCAGGAGCCAAGAGCTTCTTTCTGGTCTCCCACACAGGTGCAAGAGCCCATGGGGCCCAAGCACTTTGGCCATCTTCCACTGCTTTCCCAGGCCATCAGCAGGGAGCTGAATTGAAAGTAGAGCAGCTGGATTCGAACCAGTGCCCATATGGGATGCTGGTGCCACAGGCGGAGGCTTAATCTGCTTTGCCACAGTGCCTGCCCAAGAATTAAGTTTTATGAAATTTATAAAATGGTCCCAAATCTCCTTTATCTAACATATGTGTATCTAAATATATAAACTATAAACCTTATAATAAAAATAGTTCAATAAATATTTAAACACTTTTTTGTATTTTCTATGGGATAAGAATCTAAGTTGATGCTGGTATTTGTTTTTTATGCCAATCATCAAATTCTTGGAGTTGAGGAATTGTTTGTTCAATGAAATTTTGCAATTTTAGAAAGTTATCATTTTTAATAATACTGAAGCACATTATTATGAAGATATCATAGTAAGAGAACATCTTGTACTGGGCTATATAAGACAAGGTACAAGGTTTTGAATGTTGCAACTATTATACATTTTCAGTGTTATTTTTGTGAGTTTGCACAAAGCATCAGTGGTCATTGGGATTTATATGTGGGTCATCTAGGTTCACTCTACAATGAGCAGGTGTTGAGAATGCAAGTGGTTAATGAGAATTATAAGGACTACATCACCTAGCAGTGAACAGTCCGAGTAAGGGGCTTCATGGCTAACCTGCATTGTGACTTCAGGTGTTTCAATGATTCATGTTTTATGCAATTTCCTTCCTACATCTATGAGCCACACTTCCAAAAGTGTGTGGAAAATGGAATTAGAGGATAAGTGTATAATGGTGCACAAATTTTTGAATACCATGCATATTTTTCAAAATACATAATTCATGTACATATTTTACCACGAATCTGTTGATGGCCCCTGAATTCATGAATTTCAAAAAATTTTGCATCAATAATAAACTTATCTCTTAATTCCATTTTCCATGAACTTTTGGAAACACTTTTGTATGTGAAAGCAGTGTTCTGGCTTTCAGGGGTTCTGCCTTACTATTATTTTCATGAGTAAATAATCCATCTGGAAGCAGAGCTGAATCCGGAAGAGACTGTGAAGTGGAAAAAGTTTTTATAAATTACCTGCCGTTCTTTCTTCTAGCGACCGTGACTTGGGGCAGTCTGACCTCGTAGCCTGTGTCTTAACTGCTGTGTGATACTAAGAGTGCTCAAAAGCATGGCTTGGTCTTATGAGGGTTTGATCTTATCCTTGAAACCCTGGTGCCTGCGCAGTGCCATGCACCTCACAGGAGCTCCACGAAAGAGGCCGTCGTCATTGCCTCAGATTAAGCGATGCCCACCGAGACCAGTTAATCTAATCACCCCACAAAAATGTCTCAGGAATAGGGATCATATATAGAATATTTGCAATTTGCCATGTTCATGAGATATATCGGGGTGGACACCACAAATAGCAAGCACAGGGCCATTTACTTTTGCTCAGTCCAAAAATATTCTCTTTGCAGCGTGTGGCCCAAAGGAAGAGGGGATCTAGACTTCTGCTGGCATCTGTGAGACATCTCGGGATATTTAGTATGGAGAAAGAGAGTTTGGTGTGCTGGACTGCTTGGTGGCCTGTGTCCCACGTGCTACCGGCTTAGGGATGTTTCCTCTGGTCCCTGGGTTTTGCCTTACCTCTGATGGCAGGGGCAGCAGGGAATGGTGTAGCTGACAGTGACAGTGCAGCACGAGCCCTTCAGATGTGCCAGGCACCTATTGATGAGCCACCTGAGGTGGTTACAACAAACAGCTCCAATCTGAGCTTGTTTATTTTGCAGAAATATTTCCAATCAAAGCATCTAAACCACTATCCTAAAAGAACTACTATTACGTTGACTGTTGGTTACTTATATTTGTGGGTACTCCATGTATGCCAAGCATCGCTGTAAAGACTTACAGGTGTTAGTACACTTAATGCTTACAACTCAATGAAGTGAGTGCTATAATGTGCCCATTCCATGGATTAGGATATTGAGGTACTGAGATGTTAAATGAATTCTCAATTAAAAGGTTAAGAAATGTCAAATGGAACAAAGTTTTAAATGAACAGGAAATTCCTCAAGAGTATCTGCTATGTGGGACTATTTTATCTATTTTAAATCCTTTACAAGCTTGGTCTTTCACTAGAGTAGTCATCCTAGGCATTCGAAGCTGAAAGGGAATTTAGAGAGCAGCTGGCCCACAGCACCAGCTTATTGATTAGGCATTTGCGGCTCAGAGCGGTCCCAAGATCACAGGACTCTTTGAACGTAGGCATTAAGTTCTGTACTTTCTTCTACATCAGGCTGTGTTTTTCATGTTACTTTTTCATTTTCAAAATGGCTTAAAATCATAGTGTTTAGTCTTCTATCTCCTGTTGTACAGAAGAGAAAACAGACACTTAAAAATGAAACCAAATCTCAATTCCTTGTTGGGAACTTATCGCTAGCAGTGGTTGTGTTAGAATCCATGGTGTCAGAGGCCTGGAACCTTCGTGTGCTCCCTCGAGCCTGGTATCTGGCTGCACCTTGATAAAGGTAATAAGAGGTGTTATCAGTCTCTCATACTCTGCCCTCAAAGGGGTATTTTGGCTGTGGCCACTTCCTGAGCCCATGGAGACAACCTTGGCTGAAATCACTTAAAGCACTTTTTAATCACAACCAAGCACCTTATTCTACCAAAATAACTCCTTTTAAAAGTGTCCCAATTCGTTCAACAGACGAGGATCAAACAGCGATAGAGAAACTGGAAGCAGACATAATTAGATGACTAAGAATGAAAGAGCAGAATGATTTAGCAATGAGCGAACATTTGGCAAAGAAATTTTTCATCAGGCTTCATCCCAACTCTCGACAGAGGAGGAAAGAATCTTCTGAGAACTGTTTGAAATGGTGGAACAGCAATTAAAGGCCTCATCATTCAGGGGGAGGAAGTCGAAAGGAGTGTGTTTGCCAAATATGGTGTGATGGGTGTTGGAAGCCAGAGGGTTGCAATGGAAATAAACCTGTTGAAAACCAAATAAGATGAACACCCGGGAGTACAAAAGGAGGAAGGAAGATGATCATCACTCCGGCCCTCTGAGCCTTGTGGTAAAATGAGAATTCTGTCCCCTTCTAAGAATAAGACTTCCAGTATTCGCTTCAGGAAGTCCCAGTGCTTCAGCTTGGATGGCTAACATGAAAAACAAAGCAATTGTTTGTTGACACGTTATTCTAGCAGGTGCAGTTCCATTTTAAACAAGAAGCTGCTATTGTTTTCAGGAATTGTGTTGATGGCTGTCTTAGAACATGAAGGGTTGCTTCGGCAGGGGACACCCGGGCGCTGTTTTTCGCCTTAGCCTTTGGACCCCAGAGATCGCATCTTTTGTACACTTAACGATCAACGCCCCCTACAGGTGTGTGCAAGCTTTAAAAAGGGGGGCGAGTTTGTTTTCATCAATATCTTTTCTGAAAACAAAAACCAAAAAACAAAAAAGAAACTCTGATGCTCCTGTTCTGATGAAAATCCTTGGGCAAAAGGGGAGAGTAAGGCTGTCCAAGATGTTTGATAGTGAGTCACCAAACACCTG